TGTATGTATGTATGTATGTATGTCGTGTTTTCTATTCTGCCAACTGTGTTGGTTTTTTATATTAGATTACATCATATCATGTTATACGGCATTGTGGCATGTTGTGTTAGGTTATGGTAAACTATGTTATTAAAGTGGTTCGACGACAAATGAAATGGTAGTGTTTTATATCAGCTGAGGTGTTAAACAAATGGTTGTGTTAGGTTGTGATGTGTTACGCTATATTGAAGTCTGATATACTGCATTCTGTCATGCCAAGTTTGTGTAAGAACAACTTGGTTGCATCACTGATGTTATATTACGCCGTACTGCATTGTCGTATCAGTTGATCTGTGTTTTGCATTGCAGCAGAGTTTCTGCTTATTTTCGGGCGTGGGACCGGTTTGGGGCTTACGTTGTCCACCGCGCGGTTAGCATGGGTCCCTGCTGCCATTCCTGGTGTTCAACTGAGATGGGACCTCTATCCCTCCGCTGACAACGATGTAAGGTAGCCTCCATCTTGAAGCTTCAGGACCTTACGCCGGTTTTGTCTGAGGCATATGTCTGAATCCGACTTCCAAGTTTTTCCCCCCAGGTCGAAGGCGAGAAGGTTGCCGAGATCGTCGATGTCAGCTATCCACTCGGACAGGCCAAGACTGATTAAATGCATTTCCGTGTCGGCTTTGGGTATTTTTTCCATCCTGAACTGAACGAGTTTCCTGACAGGTTGGCCTTGGTTGCGGCTACCACAAATGCCAGTTTGACAACCTGGAGGCCTCGGATGCAGACTACGTACCCTTTGAGTGCATCAGACAGAACCCCGAAATTGTCAAGCGCGCAACGACTGCGTGGCTTCAAACTGATCTTTGACGGTGCTGGGCGGCCACATGCACACCAATCAATTGTTACGTTGCGTTGTTCACTTCATGGGAGCCTCGCACGAAAATCTACAGCATCGCACAAGGTGGACAGATGCAAATGAGCACATGTAGATTCATGATGATACTTACACGATCATCGCGTCGTCGGGCGGGTGCTTGCCAGAGGTGCGGCCAGTGAAGGGCAAGCCAGTCACGGGCCTCCTCGCGGCTTCCCGAGTCTCGGTGCATAAGTTTTTGAAGACGGGCGCAGTCCCGCGGGCTTTGCGCCAGGGGTGACCAAGCAGGGTCAGCAGTGGTTTCAAAAGTAACCAGTTGGTCGGAAAATCGGGGAGAATTGCCACGAGCACCAGGACGAAAACTGCTGCTGCTGCTGCTGCAGCTGCGACAACTACCACGACTAATACGGCTGCCACTATCAATACTTCTAGAAATACCGCCACAGCTGCTTCGCCACTGTATGGAGCGTGCTTGCATTGTTTGCTGGGAGTCCCGTGTCCCGCTGTTTTGCCGGGTGTGACATTGATGCTCACGGTAAGGACCGCTCCTGAAGCAGTACGATCCAGTTCCCTCGACTGCACTAATCCAGAGCCCTGATTTGCAGCATCCTGTTTCTGGAAGCTGAGGTAATGTTTCACTACAATGCACGTCATGCCACCACGTTTCGTTCCAGCTTTCATCTCGCAGGTGTACATCACACGCTCACGCGTAGTCGATGCAACATGCACTCTTCAGAGAAAAGTCGCCATCGCGCAGTCCACCCAGCCATGTAATGCAGCCATGTAATGCCAGGCAGTTGCGAGCCGTCGCCAACCCCAACCAGAACGCGGACGGACTTCACCGGATTGATTGGCTTAGCCTTTGCCCGGGCCCCGTCTGAAATGCCACTTAGTTTCATCCTTATTGCGAACAACAAGCAACAACTAGCAGGAGTTTGTTCTCTGGACCACCATGGACCAGTTCGCTGTGGCAAAGTCTGAAAATGAACTACCGAAGTTTCAGAAGCTACTTGTGCTTCTGTCCTCGCAACATTCTCGAGAGCCGGCTTCGCAACATGTGGAGCTGTTGACTTTTCGCATCTGGAAGGACTCCTGGGTTGGCTGGGGCAGCTAGGAAGACAATAGATACAGACTGCTGCTCCTACTGGTAGTGTGACCTCGACCTACTCCTTGCCGACTCCTGTCGTTACAGACAGAGAGGCTTTGGACCCAAGTTCCCAAAAGCAGGTGCCCCGGCAGCCAACTGCGGTGACGGCATTGGGCCGAATGGCGTTGCGGGGCAGCGCGAGCCACAGTTCCAAGTTATAACAACCAGTATATATAAGAACCATAAGCCGGAGCAGCAACATCAGAAGTCACAGTGCGAAGTCGTTCTGGTCACCCTGGTGCCCTAAGTCGTCAGAAGAAAAAGAGTGTTGACTACCATAAGGTGTCCTTGCACTGAGCACAGAAGGTCGGGGGACAAGAAACAGTTCTACTGCATCCATAAGTTTCGTACGTCTCGTATTGATGAACTTTTCTTGTTATAGACTTGTCCCGATCCGACCGAGTAAACCTTATCACAGTCCCTTCAAAGCCCCATAACATATGGGCGAGGGACCTGACCCGTCCCTCATGCCCGGGGGAAGAAGAAGAGAGAGAGAGAGAGAAACGATGCTCAATAGTAAAAAGAGTGGTCGGGCGGGCCGATGGCCTGAGGGTCCCTAGCGGACCCCTATGCCCGGCAGAAAGAAAGAAACGATGCGGAACAATTTGTACATTGGTGATTGCCGACATGCCCGTGGCCTCTGAATCGAGGCCAGTCGCTCTTTGCAGCGCACAGCGTTGAGCTTCTGGAGCTGGTGCGCGGCATAGAGGATTTGGAATCGCAGCGATGAGGGATCCGTACCAGCTCAACCCTCTGTGACTACTCACAGCCTGTGAGGATGAAATCACTGGTCTTCACCTCCTGGCGGTGGTAGCCGTGTCTACATTGGACACGCAGCAGGCAAGGGTTTCAGATGATGCTCTACTTCCTCTCCCCTCTGAAGCATTCTGAAGCGATATTGTGACGAGCAACGTCTGAAGGCTTTGAAAGACCCTACACTTCAGGCCAGCAGGTCCAAGAAGTTGCTTCGCTTTGTTAAGAGGCCGGAGTCGTCACCACGGACGACGGATTCCACTATGCGCTGCTCGAGAAACAGGCATGCCCGGAACCGACCTATGGGTTTCCACAACCTTTCTGCGAGTGAGATATCCCGCTCAAGCGCATCGCAGCAGTCCCCAGCAGAATGAGAACCGCAGACCCCAGCCTTGGTTAGACAAGATTTACGCGTGCGGGTCTGCCTATCAAGGACCTAGATTGCATTCGGCTGGCTTCGCTGTTATCTTTCGGCAATGCGGTCGCTGCCAGGTCGTCTTGCAGCCGAACAAGACGTACGTGCGCCACTGAGAAGCGATCGAATGTCCTGCGATACAGTGGGATACAGCAGATGTTCAAGCAGCAGAAGCAGAGGTTGCAAAATGGACACCACTCACAACTCTAGTGCCAAGCAAATCGGTGGGCTGATCCAATCCGCGACACCATCCTCGGTACAACTTGGAGCGGCATGGCTGGCAATCGTTCCAGCCTGTCTGCGACATATCACCAAGGCACGAAGATCGCATGTCGGTCCACTAAATAGCTGCACCGATGGCCTTCCAAAATTGTACCACCGCAGCAGGCTTTGAGAAGCTTTGTGCAGCATTGGATTGTTGATGTGCGACCGGGAAAATTTTTTTGGGGGATCCACCAGCCCAGGCTCGGGTGGAAAGAACACCATCATGTATGTCGGTGTCACTATTACCGTGGCATCTCCATGGAAATCATATCGAGGACCGAACATATAGCTTCTGTGCCCGAAAAGAATCGCCGGAGTGGTCGAGAGTGAACACAGACAGGCTCCAAGCAACGAAAGAAGCAGCTCCACAGCGAGAGAACACACCGAACAAGGCCCATCGGAATGCCGAGGTCTTGGCCTCGTCCGAGCTGAAGGATGGAGATTCCTTCTTCGACGAGGCGGACATGACCAGAATAAGATGAGACGTGCAAGGCAACTGCTCATGAGGGCGAAAGCCGCCTGGTCGTGCATGCTGCCATTGTTTTGAAAGGCTTCAGCACCAAGCAGCGGCAAACAATGGAACCTCAATCCCGCAGCCCCACTGAGAAGCCCGAACCGGGCTGAATCTCGAGCTCAAACCGAATCAGGGCGGCGTCGCCGCGCCTTCCGAAGGCCTTGACATCCTGGGCCCTGTGTGCCCTCAACCGCAGCCGGGAGGGCTTTGGAAAGCCGCTGGGCGCTTTCTAAATTGGCTTTGCTAAACTTGCATCAAGTTGGGAGTTTGTCCAAAATGCCGTCCTCATCGAACGACAGGGAACGAACCCTTTTTGTTTCACGATCACGATGCCTCCTGAAGTGGCTTGAGCAAACAAGCCTGGCACGCATGTTTGCATCAACTTGCTTCAATTGGGCTATCCCACTAAGAGGCCACTTGCCACGGTATAGCGCTGAGATCGGAACAGCAAGTTAAAGTTGGTAATGCCACTCAGCCGCCCTGAGATACGGCTCATTTCTACGAGTCCTTCGGAGGTACGCAGACGAGCAAGATGGATGGCACTTTGAGGCATACCCCAACATGCTGTATGGGCCTTTGATCCTTGGCTATATTTTGGCCTGAATGGGGAGATTTAGGAGTTTGGCAGTTGGCATCTTGTCCGGCCCTTGCATGTCGAGCAGGTCGGAGAACATGCAATTTCGAAGTTGGAAGCTTCAGGATTTTGACCCTGTCCATTGTTCGGGTGTTCAGGGTGCTCGTAGCAAGCGGAGTTGGTGAGGAATGCTCTCCTCGTGCCCGCGACAGAGGCGCGGGGCCCCGGGGCCAATCCTGGATGTGGAAGTTAAGTGGCTAAGTTCGAGTGCTTCGAGCTCAGAGTTCGGCTCGCTACGAATTACCATGATGCGCATTGGCACCTTTAGTCCAACACCGCAGGCAGGAGTTGAAAGTTCAGCCACCCACGGCTTTAGACACCCTCGGGGCCGGGAAGCGGGGACAAAGATGAGAGCGACAAGAAGAGGAGGAACGAGGAGAGGCGTTTGGACCGATCTGGCATCTCGTCGATGTTCGTATTGTGTCACGGCTCCAGTATACATGGTTAATGAGCATGACAGGCGGGGAGCAGGACTGGTAGGTAGTGCAGTCCAGATGACAATTCGCAGGCCCAGGACCGCGGCCCCAGAAGCGAATAGTTGGAAGTTCGTACGGCAAGATGATCAGGTGCAAGCGTGACTTGCAGGTGCTTTTTTCTGCAATTCCATCATTCATACAAGTAGAACCTACACCACAGTGAATGCACGTCTCCGGCATATGTCGCCGCCGACATGCCATGCCTTCAGATAGGCCTGGGCAGGGGCCTCCGCCGACTGCTGAGCCGGCAAAGAGCCCGAAAGGATGGTGGCTGTGGAGTTCTTTAGGGTTTAGGTATCCAAGTTCTCCTTGCATTTCTTCGTGTCCCAATCCCTCAGCACGTGTCCTAGGTCTTAGGTCTTGGTTTGTTGCTTACCCTAGTTGGGCCCTATTGTTCGGTCCGTGATCCGGGCTGTATGGAGGATAATTACTTGTCTAACTAGCACGTCACCTATGGCACACCTGCAAATCCTGAACATCCGGCAACGCCTCTGACTAAAACTGGTCTCATACGGTGGAGATGTCCTGTCTCCAACGAACTCCCACCGCAAAAGTCAATGCGTAGACACAAATCCTAACATGCTCACCGACGAAGCAACAGAATACGGCCAGCATCTTCTTTCCCTTGCAGCTTCAAAACGCTGAGAGATTCCACGGTTCTGGGAGTGAGCCCAGGCCCAGAGCTAATTAATGAGCCCCATGGAGGCTTCCGAAAAGATGAGAGTCCCAAAGCTTTGCATGTCCAGACGGCCGAAATGTTGGGACCTTTGAGGTCGCCCTGCTTCGGGCCGGTGGGAAGGCTTCTAGTTGCACCAAAGACCGCAAAATCTGACCTTATGGAGCTTATCGGGGGCCTCTGCAGCCCCCCAAACCAGGACCAGCATGTATCCCGACCGAGGATGATGTGGTCGAACTACTCGCAACACGAAACGTGCAATGGGGGGGGGGGGGGGGGGGGCGACGTGGGCAACCCAAGCGATTGCAGAAGTTGAAAATCACACAGAGTCCAGATCTTGTGGCATAGTACCGTCTTGTTCTTTCATAACTCGGCGTTTCGAGGTACCCATGCGACACACTGTTTACCGGTAGAAGTCAACGTGCCATCGCGGATGCGCTGGAGGATGTGCAGGAGTCGTGGGAAAGTCGCCGCCATGCAGCTCCGGCTGCGACCAGCACAGGCAGGGAGCACCACACATCAGGACAGAGCTATAAATTGTACATACATGATAGTGTTGGAAAGGCCAGAGTTTCCAGTGACGTGAGTTTTGAAGATGCCGTATCTGCTGCGATCATGATGCTGGCTGATGATGGCACATGACATGATATTTGCCAGAACGCTGCCTGGTAAACGTCTACTGTTAGGAGAACGAGACATGCACTTTCTGGAACATCTCCAAAAACATAAGCTAAATAACTAAATAATAACGGCAGGCAGGTAACCGAACAGAAAACACAAAAAGGGCCAACCTCTGAGGCTCGTTTTTGGTTGTATTTTATGTGTTTGGTCAAATAACAACGACAAACACATAGAAAAACAAAACGCAAGGATACATAAACAATCATAAATAGCCAAAAACAGCAAATGAGCGCCCATGCCCACCATTTATGTTTCTTTGTTGTTTTCTGTTGTTGTTTTTTGTTTGTTTATCGGTTCATTAACCTGAGTCGGCCCGGCCGGCAAACGGAGTCCAGTCAGACGAGGCTGTCTTTGGTTAGGTAGCTGTGCAGCCCAGCTACGTATAGTGACCGTCGATGCATTTGGGTTCTACTATCGCTGACTGGCGCAGATTAAATTGCAATGGCCACCACACACTTGATTGCATGTGCCGATTGCCTGGATTAGAATATATATACAAAATATATATATATA